CGAAAATAAACTCCTCCCATTCGTTATCGATAATGGGCTCCTCTAATTTGTTAAGTAATCAGCTAATTATGCGGGCTTCGTTGAATATCACTTATTGGATAATCCAAATTTAGTAGTCCACAATTAGTAGAACAAGCAATTTCGTATTATATCATGGGTCTTTTAACTTTCATTTTATTGCAAATAATTTGAATAGAATTTATGCAAGCTATTTCAATATACAATTTCTTCATTGTTCTTATTGATTTGAGTGAAAATCAGTTTTCTTTGTTCATCTTTCTCATGAATTTGATTATTCCACGAACTTTAGAAAAAGCTGGTCACGAATTCTTTTCAGTCAATTCCTTCTGAACTGAAACACTGTTTATTAGCCCAAGTTGATTTACGCACGCTTTTTAATGTATCTGCTGTATCTCTTATTGTTTACCGTGAAATGTTTTCGATTAATCTAAATGTTTCAACTTGACGCTCCAGAAAAATCTCACGATTCGTCCAAATAAATTTTGTAAAGATCAAGAAAGCAACTGGAATCAGATGAATTTCAGTTTAGAATTTAGGAGATTTATTAGTTTTAACAGGTTCGATTAACTTAGTAATATCTTCATTTATTTGATCAACTTCTGGAAATAATAAAGGAGCAAACTGAATGTCAAAAAATGAATAAAGATGAATTATTACCGGTCGACACATTTTAGGAGGAAACAGATTTCGGTATCCGTTCCGGTCTGTCACAAATTCGAAAACGTAAACATCGGGATCCGCGTACACGTGTCCTCTGTATATCATAAACCGGTCGTGAAGACCGGTTGCCTTTTCCTCTTGCTTACTACGCCCGCCCGACGGGTTCATTCATGAAAATTCAAGATAGCCCTTTAAACTATAAACGGACCCCTAACTCACGCGCAAACGCCATTCACGTATGTACCTTCCATTCCCTCTAAAACTCTTGCCACTATGACAGATTTTACAATTGAGATACATGTATAATATATGTATACATTTTTAATTATTACATATTCAATTAAATATGTGTATTGGGTTGTTGTTATTATAGAGGCTCGCGAAAGTATTCGGACACCTTTTTAAACAGAACAACTTTCTTAATATTGGACCAAACAAAATAATTTTTTGTGGATGCTAGAAAATTTAGTTTACTACGTGATGTGTAAAAAGAATTTGTTAAAAATTTACTCGAACTCGCGAAGAAAAACTATAATTTCATTATAAAGTCTTCTGGAAAATAGATACGTCAAAATCGAAGGGAACAACTTGTTGACTGTGAGCCGGCGGTGATTTCAATGGGATTCAAGAATATAACTCACAGTCAATGTAACAACGAGAATCGTCTCGGTAGCCAAAGGAAAGTAGTTCTCCGTCGTTGAAATAATAAACAAACCCTTTTTGTTCACACCCAGAGTCGATGTAATATAGTGGGTCTCGTTGAAGGGAAACATGGTTCCTGATCAGGGTTAATAAAAATTCTGACCAGTGGTGTCGCGTTTCAAGTTAATATTGAGCCTTCCGAATCCTTTGACCACGATGCGGCAAAAGGATGAACGTAACCGAAACAGACCGACGTTTCTTTCCCGGAAGAATCGCCCTTAAATCATCTTCATCCTCGTAAAGTTCACTTTGAACCGATCATGTGTGAAACTCATCAGTGAACAAGTAGATCGTCAGTCAGCTAGTCAGTTAGACTGAGGATCTCCCACGCGGATCATTAAAGATATTGACACATTAATCCTTTTATACAAAATTTTCGGCTACTGGTAGAAAAAATTTAAAAATACGATGTCAGAAACGAGAATGAGACAAAAATTAAAAATAAATATGTATATTGTATTTGAAGCCTCTATTTTAATTGGTTATTAATAATGTTATTAATAACGTACGACGAACCTCTATTTAGAATTCTAATGACCTCGACTAATAAAAGCATCCTTAATTCTCTTACCACTTAGGACTTACGCTAAGGTTAGGGGCACATGAGCAATACGTGTACACTGTACACGAGCGTTGCTTATTTTGCGTCAGTTGGCAAAGGAAGTGCAGAAAGCATAGAAAGTTGTCCTTATACTGTTTAAACAGTACTTAGAAATTAGATTTTATTGTGTTTGGGATTCCGCTTCGTAATTTTTTAGGACATATTTCCTCTTATGCATGTTTTTTGTTTTTTTTTATTAATAATTCTAAGGAAAAGCTTTTTAGTCCTCTTTTCTCTACTTCACTAATTAATAAGACAATATTATTTGGCACTTTTCAAACGTCCTTTCAACGTTCGTGTGCCCCCAGCCTCTAATAGCCGTAAAATCTTTGCTTTTAATTAAAAAATAAAAATTGTCCTGTTATTGTATCTCATTTTGAACTGCTTCAGAGCTCTTGCATACGTCAATCTTGATTTTACTGTATATTTATAACAATATTACTTCCATTATTTTCTAACAAATAAGTACTCATTATTGATGACATATGTTCATAATGCAATTAGTTATTATTGTGAAAGATTTCAAAATCCTGACATAGTTTTTTTCTTTAATTTTTCTTCAATTTATTGTAGTAGCTCCATTTTATTATTTCAAATTGATATAACTCTAAAATCGGCTTCTAAATTTCTTTCAAATTTTTCATGTGAGTTTAATATAACTATTTATTAATAAAATTCCAACCTGTGTCATTACTACAGCTTATAGCCAGAACAAGTTTAACATCCCTACTGAACGCGAAACGCCTCTCAATTTAAGCACAAAAATAAATCTGCATCGTATGTTCGATGCATCAACTCGTTTCCCCGAATTTCACTGAAGAACATCCTATTTTAAAATCCAACGCCATTTTAATTTGAAGCATCCAAGAGAGATGTAAGTCGAGTGGTTTTCGATAAAAGTTGTCGTAATTAGCAGTAAAAAGACAAAAACGGCTGGGAATAGTATCGGTCAGCGCGCAATCCTCCTTCGTTACTCCATTAAGTGGGTTTACCACACTTTTTTCCAGGGGCGACGCTTCTGCGGATGGCAAAAACTTACTTCTGTCAGTTCGCGTTACCATCAACGCGTCGTCGCTCGAGTTTTTGACGTCACTGTCCAGTGAGTTAATATTTTAATATTCCTATCTGTGATTCCACATGCAGTTTGACATTTTAATCTAGAGGATGATAATACCGTTATCTTCGTAGAATGCAATAATATCTATTGTAATTAAGCACAAAAATATGGAATTAGATCAAATCACATGTTTCTATGAAATTAATTATCATATGTAAA